TCTGAACAGAACACATTTTCAAGAAACAAAATACCACAGCCTTGAGGACAAGGTGCTGTGCCCCTCCCCGCCCCAGAGCCCAGGTGCCCCATATGGCACAGCCAGGTGTGTTTTTACTCCAGAGTCTGCTTTCACACACAGCTCCTAACTCTTCTGCAGCCTGTCTTGCTGGAGCCTGAACCAACGCACGCGGGCACAGTGTGTGTGTGTGTGTGTGTGCGTGTGTGTGCGCGTGTGTGTGCGTGTGTGTGTGCGCGCGCGTGCGCATAACAGACGGCAGACATTCCAGAGGTAAGGTGACATGTGAGATGGGACATCCACGCAGCCATGTCGTTATGAACAGCACCGCAGGCCTGACCTGAGACCAGGCCCACAGCCACGAGTACTACCAAGTCACTTTTTCCTTCTCTAGTAAGTCACGGCTGAAATACACAACATTAAAAACAAACTTGGCTAGAGTTGAAATTCACTAGTAGCCATGGCTTTTAAGTCCCAACTCTGCACCTACACGATCCACAAAGAAAGAAGATACCCTGTCTGGGAAACAGCAGTAGAGCCACAGAGAAAAGTGGGCAGGGAGTTCAGACCTCGGGTGCAGAGCTGGGAGGAGAGGTGCTAATCCCCAGGGAAACCCTAGACGCCAAGGCTTGAGTGACCTCCTAACACTGACACCATGAGTATTGCCACCAACACTGTCACACGCAGTTGGCTGGGAGAAAGAAGCATTGTCCACACGACTCCCTGGGTGGGGACAGCTGGAGGCTGAGGACTTGGACCCATCCCTGGGCCTTGTTCCTTTGCTGATTTGAATCTGCATCCTTTCAGTGTGATGAACCTTACTGCTGAGTTATGTGAGGCCTCAGAGGCAGCCCTGGACCTGGGGCTGGCCTCAGGGCGTCACCCGCCCTGCCAATTGGGGCCGCAGGCATTGTCATACCTCAGGGTGGAACTGCTGCTCCGTGCGCGAGTGGCAGTACTGACAGCTGTCCCCACTCTCGCACCTGGAGGGCTCGCCCCACTCGTCGCCGTGCTTCACGCTGGGGCAGGGGGTGGACCTGCAGGGACAACCAGGAATCAGTGCAGGATGGATGTCCTCCCCGAGTGCCCTGGGGAGTCGGGCCTTCCACCTATGGCTGGGCACACCTGCACCACGAGGGGCCCAGGCAAGGGGCTCCCAGAAGCCCCGGCCCCTTCCTTAGGAGGACAGAGGAAAAGCAGGGTGGGTGCCCAGTGGGACCCAGGATGTACTCGGGAGCCCATTTTCATTTTCCATAAAGTGTAAAATGAGTCTGAGTCAGAGCCACCCACACCGACATAAGCAGCATCTTGGAAATGCAGCCAGGCCTCCTGCAGCAGGTGGGGAGGCCAGGCCTGGCCAATCGCCCGCCAGCAAGGGGAGCATGCTCCCCAACTTCTTCTGAGACCGTTTCAAAACTGAATAAGACTTCTGGTCTCACGATATGAAAATTCTAACCAATACTCTCTGCCCTTCAGGGACTTCCTGGCAGCTTGATTGAACTGGATTTATTTTAAAAATTACCATCTGTGGGAAATAGGACTTTAATTCTTTTTACAGTTTTCTGTCCCTTCAATACACTGTAAATTCACTTTGTCTTCTCGAGATGACATCTGGTGACTAAGACTGAGGGGGTCCCTGTCCCTCAACTCAAACTACTCAGAGGAGCAGTGACTCACAAGACGCTTCCTGCCTGAAGGTCAGGGCTCTATGGGCCTGCGAGACGGCCTCAAGTGATCAGAGAGCAGCTCTTTGCTCAGAGAACAAGCTGGACAGAGCTTAAGACTCAAAGGAGGACCAAGGTGAGGGTCCAGGTGCCCAGGCACCCCTGGGGTCCCATGTCCCCAGCCCCACCATCTGCCAACTTGGTAAACCCAAGGGGGAGTAGGGCACCACGGTGAAGGCAGCTGGAGTGAGGAGGAGATGGCAGTGGATGCGAGCAGGACGGCCAGGTGCACAAAACAAACCCACCACCCAGAGGTTACCAGGCCCCTGGAGAGGGTGAAGTTGGGTTGTGGGTTGGTCCCCAGCCAGCAGGAGTGCACAGGTCACAGATGGGAGGCCAGGAGGGAAACGGGGGAGCCACACCCTCACAGCACCTGCCACCAGGAGGGATACTTGCCCAACTGGCTGGACGCCAGGGCCTTCAGGGAGGGTGAAGACAGCAGAGGGGCCGCTGCCTTAAAGAGAGTCATGTGCCGGGCGGGGAGCGCATGTGTGCAGAGGGGACCACAGAGCCAGGTCCACACCTGAGAAACAGTCCAGGGCTCACCTGTACTGGAACCTCCGGGGATTCCGCCGTCGGTCCCGGCTGTTGTGGAAGTGCGGGCACGCGTAGCCCTGGCGGCACAGGCGTGGGGGCTTGGGGCACTGCTCAGTCTTGTAGCTGCCCAGCACGAAGTTGGTGTCTGAAAAACAGGGGTCCCCCAAAAACGTGCACACACGTGCTCACATGGCAGCCATGAAGCCAAGAGGTGCTGGTCAACGGGTGATGGATAAACACCATGTAGCCCAGCCACAAAGCGGAGTGTTACTTGGCCAAGAGGAGGAGTGAAGCACTAACACGCGCTACAGCGTGGCTGAGCCTTGAAAGTGTGATGCTCAGAGAAAGAAGCAGACACACAGGCACATATTGTATGACTCTACTTACAGGAAACGTCCAGAATGAGCAAATCCACAGATAGTAGATCAGAGGGTGTTGGAGGCCAGGGGCGGGTGGGGAGTGACTGACGGTGGAGAAGGGGGCTCTTTGGGGAGACTAGATAGTTTTAGAACTAGATGGAAGCGATGCATACACAACACACCAAAACCCCTGGAAATGGACACTTTAAAGTGGTGTATTTAACCCCAAGGTAAACCACGGGCTTTGGGTGATGCTGCTACATCAACACAGGCTCCTCGGCTGTGACAAATGTCCCTGCCGAGGTGGGGGTGCTGCGTGGGTGGAGGCAGCGGGTATGTGAGAACTCCCTGGACTTTCCACAATGTGGACCCTCAACTTCTCTAAAAGACAAAGTTTATTTTTTAAACGGCTCATTTCATGATACCTGAATATTATCTCAGGGCAAAAATAAACAGAAAACCACGAGGGGTCATTGAAAAGCAGTAACTGATGAGAGAAGATTCTTGAAAACCATACCCATTCTTGGGCTGGTTAATAACTGACCTCCTGGTTTTGTTGTTTTTAACAAGGGCCGTTGTTTTTAATTACGCTTGCGCAGACAGGCCCAGTCAAGGCGTTGAAGGAAAGATAGTGGGTGGGTACGGGGAGCTGTGCATCACACCCCACTGACCAGGGAGCTGGCAGCACCACACGTCCCTCCATGTCAAACTCAGTTCCAAATAACTGATTAAATGACAGGGAACGTTAGCCACACGGCAAGACATGGAGAGAACAGGGGCAGTTTGAACAGAAAGGACAATTTTAAGAAAATAAAAGTTGTAAAACAGAGGGGTGGGTAGAGTTCAGTGACAGAGCACGTGCTTAGCATGCACGAGGTCCAGGGTTCAATCCCCAGTGCCTCCATTAAAAAAAAAAAGATTCAAGAAAACATGTAGAACATTTCTTCACAAGTATTGATCAAGGGCCTTGAAAAGACACAAGGTCCTGCACAGAGTGACACAAACCACAAAAAAGGGAGTGGTGTGGCAACGCCCATGAGTCACAGGGGCCCTGGGACGCCCAGGTGCGGGTGATGGATGAACAGGTCCAGCCAGATGTGGGGTATTACTCAGCAATAGGAAGAAACATGCCACCACATGCCAAAGAGACCTGGGGAACCCTGAATGCACAGCACTAAGTGTAAAGGCAACACAATGTGTGATCGCAACAATGTGGCAGAACAATGGGGTGAAAGATTGGAAGTCCCCAGGGTGGGGAGGGACGAGCCGCAGAGTATAGAGGGTCTGAGGGCAGTGACACTATCCCGTGTGACACCCTAAGTAAGGATCTTTGTCATCACATTTGTGCCCACACCCAGAGAATGCAGCACGTGGGCCAGGCCTGAATCCTGGTGTGAACTGTACAGTCAGTTAACCACCATGTATGAAGACTGGTTTCTCAACTATAACAAATGTCACCATGTCAAAGGAAGAGGTTCCTGCCAGGGCAGCTGGGAACTCTGCCCTGACTGTGCAATTCCTCTATAAACCGAAAGCTTCCGTAAAAAATAAGGTCTACTAATTAAAAATCCAGGCCACCACCCATGAGTGGAAAACGAAAATGTGGAAGCAACAGGCTGGAGCAGCTCTTCTGAGGGAGGAGGGGGTGTCAGTGCCACTGGTTTAATCTGAACACTGGGAGAGCGGGAGCCAGGGCACCTGATGTTCAGGACACAAATCTTGGGCGCAGGCGCTGAGGGTTCCCTAGCCTGACCCTGTCCAGGCATCTCTTCCCTGCTCTCCTTTCTCAAGCTCAGTCCACCCGTCGGTGATGAGGGGACCCACACCCCTACCTGTGCCCTGAACCGGAGCCCACAGGTGCTCAGTACCAGACCAGGGAGGCCAGCGGGCTGGAACACAAGAAAGGAAGTTCCAGAAGGACAAGAACCCCCAGGTGCTGGCAAGCAGGGAGCTGCAGGCACAGCCCTTCCTCTGTGGGGAGCCCCACAGCGACACTGCAACACGGGGACAAGCACAATGGCACAGTGGGCCCCCACCCCCTAGAGACCACCGGAGGCCAGGTTCTGCAGCTGGGGCCAGGCCTGAGCCTGGGCGCACCAGGCATATCACCATAGAGGGTGGAGGGGCTAGGAGGGAGGCCTGGGCAGCTACCTTTATTAATTCATCCCTGAACCCAGGGTGGGCACAGGATTTGACAAGTGGAGGAAAGACACTTGGGAATTCACTGCTGAAGTAACCACCACTTTGAGGTGTTCATGCACCTGAAAGTGAAGGTGGTCTGAGGACACACGTCATCACTCACAAGGGTCCCTGAAACCCTCACTGTCCTCAGGAGATGTTGGAACAGGCAGCTTCATAGAGACAGAGCCAAGCTGGTGGGTGCCAGGGGCCGGGAAGAGGGGGACCAGTAATGGAGATGGGTTTCCATCCAAGGTAACAGGAATGTTCTGGAACCAGATGGAGGTGACAGCTGCACAGCATGGTGGGTGTACTAAACACTACTGACCTGCTACTTTAAAATGGTCAGAATGGCAAATTTATGTTATGCGTATTTTGCAATTACAAAAAAAAAATCTCACTGCACAAAGCCATCATCTGTGGAGGCTGCTGGGGACGAGTCCCACTGCCCCAATGGACTCAGCCAGGAATTCACGTTTCAGACAAACCGCAGGGACCCAGATGCAGCTGATCTGAAGGCCACGTGGAGCCCACAGGGCAAGCATGAGGCAGAACACCAGCCCGGCTCCGGGACTGGACATGCAGTCCCCTTCCCCAGAGCAGCCTGGGGACCAGATGCCTGAGCTCAGATCCCACCTGGTCACATGCTGTAGAGGGGCAGAGGGTAACATGCTCGAACAGAGCCTTGTTTCCCCACCCAGCCTGTCAACAGGGCAATGACGTCCCCAGTATGGGCACTTTACAGACAGAGCTGAGCTCCCCAACCCCCTCTCAGGACAGCTACAGGGTTACCTTGCCACCGGGGGTCCTCACCCAGGATCTTCTCCATCATGGCCTGGCTGGCCAAGACCCCAGGCTGCAGATCAGGGATGCCATCCCCGCCGCCGAGCTGGCCATTCTGCAGGGCTTCCTGGGCCTGCAGCTCCCTGCAACCAAATGATAAGCGGTAACAGCTCCATGGCCTGTCTGAAGCCTCTGAGGGGAAGAGATCCGCTGGGCCCTGCAGCTTTACGGAGCCACCTCTGAGTCACTGGAGATGCCAGCTGCCTAAGAGTTCAGGATGCGTGGCCTGTGGCCTCAGCGCCCCATCGTGAGACCACGGTCTTGGCCCAGATTGCAGCAGCCTCAGCCAAGAGTGCTCGCTGCGGACTTGTGGTTCACAAGCTCCCTTGCACCCATGTCAGCAGGAAGGAAATGGGTCACTTTTTCCTTAGAAATAAAACCAAGGCCCAGGAAGAGTGACCTGAGGCAAGTGACACCTGTAACATGGGGAGGAGGGCGGTGCCCAGCGCAGGACGCCCACTTACCTGATGTCACACACCGGCGGCCGCAGGTCCAGGGGGCCGTGAGCGAAAGCACAGTGCAGCCCGTTCTTTACGCAGTGGCCCCGGGCATCTGTCTCGTGGATGCACGTGCCCGTCTTGTAGTAACGCAGGTGGTACTTGCGCTCTGTGTCCCCAGTTGTCCGGTGCAGATATGGACACCTGGAGGGCAGAGGACAACATGCGTCGTCTGGGCCATAGGGCCACTGTGGGGTCACCCTGCACCCTGCTGGCCCATGGAAGGAGGAACATCACCTGTCCCTGCTTGGACTCTCCCCTACAACACTCAGAACCCCGCAAACCCCTCAATTACACGTGGTAGAAAAACGTGACACCCAAGTTCCCTGAAAATCATCCTTCACAATTTTTTGAATAAAGTGGAAAAACAAAGCCCTCCCTGGATGCAGTATCATTCATTTTACCGATGAGAATTATCAAATAAGGGACTGGTGGCTTCTCCCATCCCCGTTGTCAAGGGAGGGGGAAGGAGCCTGGACACGGCTGGAGGAGAATGCTGTGGGGACACAAGCTGGGGAGAAGCAGATGGGGGAGGCATGGATGGGGCAGCGTCACACAGGCCACGTGCAGGCCCAGAGTCACGCACTCCCAGGGAGTCTCACATGGCTCCCAGAGCAGCAACAGACTCACGCTGCAGGGAGGTGGTGGCTGCACAGGTGGCATGAATGGTCCTGGCACAGGCAGGGCAGGGGACTGAGCTGGTCTCAAGGTCGAGCCCTCCAGACAAGAGCCACAGACACAGAGGGGAGGGGACGCACAAAGGACCCTGAGCAGCCCCAGAGCGGCCCATGGCCGAGGCAGGGCCATGGCTCCTAGTCCCCAGATCTAAGGACAAGGCCTGCATCCCCAGCAATGGCCGGGCAGCACCATGTGGGGCTTGGAAGGGCCCACTCCCTCTTCACTGTCTGGCAGGCTGTGGAACTGTGAACCCAGGCACTGGGAGCACCTGTTGGGGGGGGTCTCCCCATGCAGAGCACAGATGGTGGTACTCTGACACTGAACAAGACTGAAAGTAAAAGAAAAAATGACTTGGGGACCAACAAATCTAAACCCCCACGTTATAAGACGAAGAAATAGAGGCTTAGAGTTGGGATATCTCACCCCAGACCTCATGGAGCCCCTGTGGTGTGCAGGCTGTGAAGGGGAGAGAGAGAGGATGCCATGCCCTGCCAAGTCCCTGGGTAGGGACTTGGAGCCAACCAAGCAAAAGTCAAATGCTAAGACTACATGGGCCCAGCAGTCCCATCTCCAGATGCACACACAAAAGGGCTGGAAGCCGCATCTTGAAGAGATACGTGTGCCCTCACTATCAGAGCAGCAGGATTCACAACAGCTCAAAGCTGGAAACAACCCAAGTGTCCACTCACTGATAAATGGATGAGCAGAACGTGGTCCACCCAGTGGAATAGGACTCAGTATAAACAGGAAGGAGGCACCAACACAGGCTACAACATGGAGGAGCCTCAAGACATTATGTTAAGTGAAAGAAGCTAGACACAAAGGGACATACACTGGGTGGGTCCACTCACACGAGGTCTCTGAAGCAGGCAAGTTCATAGTAATGGAAAGTAGAAGAGGGGTACCCGGGCTGCAGCGGGGAGTGAATGTTTAATGGGACAAAGTTTGGTGTGTTTTCTTTTTTTTTTTGGCGGGAGGAGGTAATTAGATTTATTTATTGATTGACTTACTTATTAATGTATTTTTTAATGGAGCTACTGGGGATTGAACCCAGGACCTTGTGCGTGTCAAGCACATGCTCTACACTGAGCGATACCTCCCCCAGAACAGAGTTTCTGTTTGGGAGGATGAAAAGAATCTGGAAATAGACAGTGGTCATGGTTACATAACAATGTAAATGTAATTAATGCCACTGAGTTGCACACTTAAAGATGGTTGAAATGGCAAATTTTATGTTATATGTATTTTATCACAACTTTAAACAACGCCCACTGGAGACTGACAGAGGAGAGAGACAGATTGTCTCTGTTTTTAACTGAGATACATCACACCTACAGGAGTGTGAACAGGTCACACCTGAACAGCCTGTGGCATTTCACAAACCAACACCTAAGTGATGGCACCCAGACCAAGAGGATGGAACACGGCCAGCCCCCTGGGTGCCCCTCACTGAACACACGGGGGAAGATGACCATGCTCTCCTGTGAGCAGCAGGAACTGGAAATAAGGCAATTCCTTGCGCCCAGAGGGAATTCCTCTAATAAACTGTGTAAATACTTCTGGGGTAATCCGAGAAGTCGGTGCCAATCACCAGAGATCTGAGGGAATAAGGAAAAGCGGAAGATAGAGAAAGGAGGACACAAGACAATCCGGCTCCCACTTTGTAAAAACAGAAAAGATAGAAACTTTAGAAGAATTATTACTGTATCATATGTAACTATGAAGAAGGAAACACCACATGTGCAGACAGTGCTCTATGTGCCTAAGGACAACCTGATTCCTTCCTGTTCCCAACAAGAAGTTCCAAGAAACATTTTCAGGAGGTGAGAGAGAAATGGTCAAATATCTACTAAGGATTTTTTACTATATTAGGTACTGATGCATCCTTGTTTAAAATTCCTTACTACAGAGTTCCATTTAACGTTTCAAGCTCTCCCATGCATCTTCGCACCAGCACTGGGATATAGCTCGGTCTCTGGGAGCCCAGAGAGGTGAGGCTGTTGTGGAGCCTGTTCTAGGACAAGGAACCCCCCCAACTTCTCACATAAATATGTAGACTAACATCACTAACAAATAAAAACATGTAGAAATAAAGACGAGGAACTCACAGGACAACGGGCTAGAGAAATAAACAAGGCATTTACAAAGGAGAAAATGCAACCAGTCTCGACCACTAAGAGGCACTCCTCTTGCTTCCGAGGAGACAAATGCACCAAGAGGCCACCAGGGCTGAACCCCAAGTGCAGCACTCAGGCAAAGTGACACTGCTGCCGGCAGGAATGCCAAGTGACAGTCACCAAGAGGATAGATGCGCTCACCCTCTGACCCAGGATTCCCCAAAGACAGACTGGCAAAAAGAGATAAAACAACATACTGTTTGTAATCAACAAAGGCTGGAGACAACGGAGTTGTGATATGAACATCAAGGGAGCTCAGTGCAGCCTGGAGGAATGGGTAGTCCTTGAGGACAGCTATGGCGGGGGCGCCAGAAGTACCGTGAGGGAGAAAGCACTAAGAAAAGGGAGTGCAGCACACTACAGTTTACATCGTACGATGAGAGGTAAGAATACAGATGTATCTGCTTATATCAAAAATTACAGAAGGAGGAATTATTGTTTCACAGGGACAGAGTTTCAGTTTGAAGATGGAAAAGTTCCGGAGGTGGATGGTGGTGATGGCTGCACAACAATGTGAATGGACTCAATGCCACTAAACTGTACACTTAAAAAAGCTAGGCTAAGAGATTTAATGTTATGTATGTTCCACTACAATAAAAAATACAATGATTTAAGCTAATAGGAAAGTGGCCATTTCACAAAAACATAGTTTCAATCCTCAGAAATACTCATGCATCTACTGTAAGGTAAGCAAAACAAATTTCAGGGTCTGAGGAAAGAGGGACCAGCGGAGCTAAGCTGAGGCAGGGTCTGCAAGTTTATCCGGGGAGCCCACCCACAGAGCTGCACCAGGGCACGACCACATGGCCCTAAGCATCGCCGGTGCACCAGCTGCAGCGGTGGCAGAGGCTGCGCCCCCCCACAGCTCCAGGGAGTGGATGCAGTGGGCGCCTCGGCTCTCTCATTTCCTAATGTTCCCCAGTGGTTCCTCAGGTCAGCTCTAAGCATCGTTGTGTTTCCTTGCCAGTACCATCACCATGGCAACCAGAGCCTGGCCAAGGTCTCCCCTCTCCCCAGCACTGAGCACCGAACAGGGACTATCATTTCACTCAGGGCATGTCACCTCCCGCTTATTACACAACTTAAGAGCATGAGCTGAGCTTAAAATACTGGAGAACATTTAATGAAAAGAAAATGACTTCACCTAAGAATGTCTAAGACACAAAAGGGAAAACCTCAGAACACAGTGGCAGAGCCTGGACCCTCCTAGGGGTGGGGAAAAGGCTGGCGGGACCCCAGGGGTCAGCCAACACAGCGGGCAGATGCTTCCTTGCCCCAGGAGTTCACTCATCCATCCCCAGGGCCACCGTGTAGCTGACTGGTGGAGTCACTGACAGCCCTGCAGCACCTGTAATGTGACCAAGTGTGACTCAGCTCTACAGCTTGCCAAATTCAAGGTGGCACCTGTGGTTCCCAAACCCACCCATCACAAGTAGTGACCCAAAGAGCAGAATTCAAACAGGCCTCCATAGGATGATGTGATCCAGCAGCACATGCCAGACACAGGCCTGGAACCATGAAACCAGGAGGTGGCGCAGAGAGGAACATGCCGGGGGCTCAAGCCTGCCACCTGTCTCCAGGAGAACCCGAAATTGTCCCTTTCCCTCCCCCTATTCACTCAAAACAGAAGTGGACCCACAAACTCAGACCCACTATGCATCAACACCGGTTAAGCCAGGCCAGAGCAGAATGGAACCACCTGGAAGTTCTGCTAACCCCAAGCTGTCTGATCCCGCTCGTCCCGGCAAGAACCTTGGATCTTATCTGCAGCAAAGTTCCCAGGTGATGATGTTGCTGCTGGTCTGGGGCTGCAACAGGAGAATCACTCGGCTTGGAGAGACCCTCAAGTACATGACTCTCTCCTGGTCCTCCAGGAGCTCAGGCACAGGTGGGGACCAGAATATAGCACACAAGTAACTGAGATGCAAACTGACTGGAACCGAGCAGCCTCACTCAAGTTCAGAAAATGAGTGGCAACAGAAAGACGGGAGAAGGAAAGACAATTGTGGGGAGCAGGGGCACGGGAGTGCGGAAGGCAAAAAGGTGGGGCTAGTGGGGAAAAGTCTGAATGTCCCCCTCTCTTGGACACTCAGGGTCAGGGGCTATCAGCTCACCCTGTGTTGACCACGCCCACCCATTCAGGCTGGTGCCTCTCAGCCTCTGGCTTCCAAGAGCTGCCCTGGGCTCCTGAGACAGGTCAGCGACCCCTCATTAGTCCCTAACATGGACCATCAGCCCAGCAACAAGTACACCTCCCTCCTCTGCACCCACAAAGCTGTCACTCTCTCCAAGGAATCTGTCTCTCTGCAGAGGCCGTCTCCCCACTGGCCTCCAAGGAGAACCAGCACTCCCTGTGCTGGATGCTTCCTCCAGGTCACCTCCTCAGTCCCCTGCCCATGTCACTGAAAGCAGGAGGGACTGAAGTGCTGCAGTCAGCATTGGTCAGTCTCTTACAGCTCCAACGTAGACACCTGATTGTAATTTCCTTAAGTAGGACAACTTGTAAACCAAAAAGTGTGTGTCTTCTAATCTGTAAATAGCCCCTTGACTTCTAAATATTATGCTCTGATGTTCCAGACCTGCCCTGGCTTTCTCCTTACCCCAAAAGCCCAAGCAGAGTTCACGCATAAGATCAGTTTAAACAAGAACAGTTTATAACCCTCCTGAAGTGAATGCATTTTCAACTAGGTCTTAGGGTCTAGGACACCCAGCTTTTTAAAATTAAACATTGCAAGAGCATCTCTCAACAGACAAGTCAGGCTAAGGACAAGTATGACACAGCCAGCACACCAAGCCTCGGAGGTGTAGAAAAGTTTCTGTAAGTCAGCAAGCTCCCACAGTGCCCAGATTCATGGCTGGAAGGCCCCTCAACTCCCACATCGTCCACCCAGGCGACAAGGGGCCCATGCCCCCAGGTGTCCCATATGCAGTGAGGAGGGAGGGGCCTGTACGGAGAAGCGCCAGGCTGCCAGGTGAAACCATGGTAGGGAGCCCTACAAACAGTAAGGCAGAACTCTAGAGCCAACCTGGGAAGCTACAGCACACTAGTGCGGCAGGACGGATTCTTACTAAAACCAAGAAAATCTATAAAATGTGATCTAGAGGACCACCCCCAGGGACTGCCTGCCTATGTCAGAAGGAAGGTTATCAGGAAAGAGGAAGGTTACTTTCTACAAGATACAGTTAAGGACTGCTTGAACTGTCTTCCAATGGAAACATTCCCAGGGAGAGGCCCCTCAGACTCCCGCGGGAGCCTTTTCTTTTTATGCGTCTGACCTTCACGCACAGGGGTCTCCTGGAGGCGGGAGGTACCAACCACACCTAGGTTCTCTGTGTGAAAACCAGCCCTGATGATCTGCGGCCGTAGGCAAGCAGGACCAGACGGGAGCCCGGGGCGGTCCACACCCTGGGCCCCGCTCAGAGAGGCTTTCAGGATGTGACTGGACCCCAAGAAACCTCCGACCAATTGGCGCTTTCCTCCAAGCCCCAGCCTAAGAAATACCTGAGACCGATCTACGTGGGTGGGAACACCGACCCAGTGGGGCTGGGCCTGACCACAAGTTCGGAGGCGGCGCCTGCTCTGCCAGCTCGTTCTGGGCCGACTCGCTCTGGGTGGACTACAGACTGCGCGCTGCGAGCAGCGGACCCAGACGATCCCGCCAAGCAGTGGGGAGACCAGTTCCCACGGGGGCGGGGCGGCGAGCACGTGACCCGGAAGGCCAATCGCAGCACGCGCAGGGGAGGGGGCGTGTCAGCCAGAACAAAGGGCGAAGCGAGAGGGAGAACCTCGGGGCTCGAGCCTAGAGGGGCCCTCCCGGCCACAGGGTGCCCGCCCTGCGAGGGTGACATGGGGGGTGACGGCAGGGGAGGGGCAAAGGAAGGCGGGGTGACAGAGAGGAGGGGGGTGACTGCCCGAGGAGAAAGGGGATGACAGCGGGGGACTACCCATAGGTGATAGCTGGAGTAGGTGGCGGTGACTGTGGGGGAGGCGGTCACTGGGAGGAGAATGACAGTGAGAAGGGAAGGATGACTGACCACTCGCCAATGAAAAAGGGTGACAGTGGGAGTGTGAGAAGGGGAGGAGAGTGACTGCTCACCAATGAAAGAGGGTGACAGCAGGGGAGGGGGCCACAGGAGGAGAGGTGACAGCAAGGGGGGGGAAATGACTGCATGCCTAGAAAAGGAGTTGACATCAGGTGTGCCAACCCTCTTGGGGGTCCCATCCTCTCCTGCCTACCACTCAGCCCCACAGTGCCCCCATCAAGCTCTGAGAACAACCTTGGATGCTTATATCACCTGACACTGCCTGAAGGGTCTTTGCTCTTTGACATATATTCATGATTTAAAACAAAAGGTTGGTAGTAAATATGCCTCAAATAGACATTTCAAGAACCAATGAACTGAAATAAAAGGAAGGCCTTTTCCTTGCTCTGAAAGGTAGTATCTATTTACAGATTCCATGGCAACCCTGCCTGGGCCAGAATATGTAATTCAACAGGATGAACTCTGGGAGAGTCCATTCTGGTGGAACGAGGGGTAATTATTAAGGAAAGATTCCCAGGCGAGACATGTGGCCTGTCAAACACTTTCTATGGGGCTGAAGCAATTCACCTCATGTGCTCAATAAAAGTCACAAACAAAATCTTTAGAAAAACATGTGTATTTCCATACTATGCATCCAAAATAGTATCAACCATTGTAGTCCCACTCTTCTTCTAAATGACAACCTACATGCTATGTAGGTTACATGTTAATATTTTCATAGTAAGTAACTGCAATATTACTGAATCAATATTTGAGCCCAGCTTAAAATGACCATCCACAGGTAGGTGTTCATTGCAGCACTTTTCATCCAATGGGAACTGGACCCCACCCTTATGCCCAGCAATGGGACTGAATCAATACCAGGACATCCAGACTCCAGAACCCGAAATAGCTGTTAAAACATGCTTTCTTGGGGGTAGGGGAATAAGCTTAGTGGTAGAGTGCCTGCTTAGCATGCATGACGTCCTGGGTTCAACCCCCAGCACCTTCATTAAAAAAGAAGGAGGAGAAGAAGAAGAAAGAAAAAAAAGGTAAAACATGCTTTCTTTTCATGTATTAAAAGCATCACCAGTTAGCCCCCTATCCTGGACTCTGGAATGGGGTCAGATATGCTGGGTTACTGGATCCCTGCACCAGGGTCTCAGCAGTGGCCTCCTGGGGGCAACTAAGGACTTAGGGTCCAGAGAAGTGACTGACATGGCCAAGGGAAATGAGGGACCAGAGGCCAGGTCTCCACTAGACAAAAACAGCTCTCTTCTAAAGACTCGCTTGCAGGGAACAGCAGCTCAAGAAGCAATTAAATAATGCATTTTTAAAATTTCACAGAAGTCTAACACCATCTTAACCCAAGTGGGGCTGGCTATGTTATTTCCACAGGCTTCAGGCTGCCTTAACAACAATCCTATTTAACTATCTGGTGTTCAACTAAACACCTTTCAGGAAGTGCATAAAGCTTATAAGATGATCACCATACATCCAAGGTTTACTCCCAGGCCTAAGCATTTTTGAAAACTGATGAACAAACTGACATGTCTCCCCGTGTAGCAGGGTGAAAGCTGTCTTCAGAAGGGACCAGGGGGTGTGGGGTACAGCTCAGTGGTAGAGTGTGTGCTTAGTATGCATGAAGTCCTGAGTTCAATCCCCAGGACCTCCAACAACAACAAAAAGTAAAAAGGGACCATACCTGGAGGACTACCTCCCTTCAGAAGGTCAGGGGATAGAGGCTACAAGAACTCCCCCAAGACAGGCCCGAATCAGGACAAAAGCAGAACGAGCTGCTCTTTCCAGACGGTCCTAGGGCACAGCCATGCCACCTCACCTCCAGGTGGGAATGGACACCCCACTCCCAAAATGGCCCACAGCAAAAAGCAAAACCTCTCACTACCAATGTCTGCTGGTTACATGAGTATACAATTGGGCTTGTACTTTCCCTGTTTTCCCATTCGATGTATTTCAAAATAAAGACATCTGTTCATAACACCATCAGGAAATTTGTTAAAAAAAAGTCAACCAAAACAAAACCTTGATTTCTTTAACTTTAAAAGTGCTACACAAGTGACAGTCTGCAAATAACTTTCCTATCAATTTTTTAAAAATTAAACACATAAACAGCAAGAAAGGAAACATTCCAGATATATTTGCACAATGTTAGCAAACATCCTAACAAGTTCTCTGACCAAAAAACAACCGACAGCTACAAAATGGTTCTAAACTCAAAAAGTGTACCTCATAAGGGTTGGTTCTAAGGCAGGAAATTTAGAGAACTATGTGGCAATCAAAAGTGGGAAGTGAAGCAAAATCAGTTTGCACCATGCCAGGGTTATCCATCTCCTGCACATAGTTCTTCCCGCACTGGTCAAAAACTAGGGAAATGTCCCTACCAAAACCAGTGGTCTTGGAAAAACTTCAGAGTGCAGAGAGGACCCTGCAGGTGCCCGGTGCTGAAAAGCCCAAGTCCGCCGCCCACCCAGGTATGGGGGCCGGCGCTGCGCCCCACGCGCACACGCGCGCACACTCACTCGTCGCCGTCAGGGCACACGCCGCTGGCCTCGTCGTACTTGGAGCAGTACACGTCCGGGCTGTAGTTAAATGTGCCGTCGCGCCTGCGAAGCGGTCTACGCCGACGCTGATTTAGGAAATGCCAATGGAAACAGGTAAATGGCCTGTGCTGGGTGCACTTGTGCTGCACAAACAGGGAGCACTGCTCTGTCCTAAACTCCTTTAGATACCTAAAAAGACAAACAGCGTTGGGGTCGCTTCTGCTGCCACCGCCGCCGGCGGGCGGCCTGGGGACTCGTGAGCAGGGGTCGGACCCTGAGCGCCCGAGGGCCCTGACCCCAGGCGCGATCCCCAACTCTGCCGCCCCCTCCGCCCATTTGCCCAGGCGCGTTCCTCGGATCTCAGGCACGATTCCCCATCCCCAATCCCAGGAGAGCCCTTCGACCCCAGGTGTTGGCCCCATCCTCTATTACAGGCATGGTCCCCAACCCCAGATGCAACCCCTCTATCCCCAATCCCAGGAGCGACCTCGGACCCCAGGCGCAGCACCCCATCTCCAATCCCAGACACAATCTCCCACCCCAGGCGCAGCCCCCGTCCCTGATCCCAGTCAATGTCCTCCACCCAAGGCGCAGCCAATACCTGACCCCAGGTATGACCCCCGACCCCAGGCGCAGACCCCCATCCCGATCTCAGGCATAGTCCCCGACCTCAGGTACGACCCCTCATTCCGAGTTCTGACACCTTCCACCCCGCCAAGCCCAGACGCGTTCCTCAGATCCTAGGCATGGTTTGCCAATCCCCGGCGCGGTCCCCAGCCCCAGAAGTGACCCCGCAAAACCCAGGTGCGTACTCCTGAACCCAGGCGCAGACCCTGTATCTCCAAGCTCAGGCGTGACACCCACTCCGACTC